CCCCCCCCCCCCCCCCCCCCCCCCCCCCCCCCCCCCCCCTCCACAACTGGACCTCTGCTTAATGTAGCCTTTGTTATTCTCTTCCTTCATTTCACAGCTCATTCCTGTTATACTATGGAACAAAAGTTTTGTGTGTCGCCTTTTCAGAGATCTCACAAGTTCATTTTGTACACGTGTGTGTGTGTGTATAAATACCAACCAGCAGTAGCAAACCCAGCTAATGATGCTCTTCTGCTATTCTGAGCACAAGAGGCAGTGATTGTGCAAACAGTTCAACTCCGACCTGTGCTTTGCATTGCACTTTGCACACCTGCATCCCGTTGTTTCTTTCTTTTCCTCCTTTTGCTGTTATTCCAGGGGCAGGGCAGCCCTTCCTTTCCAATTAAGCATTACAGTTTGCTGTTAATCATTTGGCTGCTTTGGAAAACTTCCTTGGAGTGCAGAAGCCCAGCTGCAATATCCAAAGCTCCTCCTGCCCCCCACCCACTTTTTGGCCCCACCAAGCGTTTGCAAGCCTGTATGGAATAGCAGCAATAATTCCAACGAAGCATCTTTGGCCAGAGGCAGCTTTTCAGTCTCAAGTTTAGGAATTCTTCCTGTCGTGTAATTGCTGTAATTACTGCCGTGATGATATCTGTGTCGTGGTAATAAGGGAGCAAACAGAGTCTGTCTTTTAAGAGGACATCAAAGGCTCTGCTCACACCTGCCCCCTCGGCCCTTTAGTTGTGACACTAAATGCCACTGCTTCTCCACCACAGTTCCCCCCTCCAGGATTTGCTGACAGCTTGTAGAGAAATTGGGATCTGCTTTTGCATCTCTCTGCTGTGCCTCCATCTGCTGATTGGCACAGAGGGATGCTGAGGGTTTCCTTCGTGGGGAGCAATGGCTCACCCTTGCTTTGCTCTGTTTGCAGAAACGTGCACACAGAACCAAACAGGCAGAGTTGGGATAAATATTTTCAGTGGCTGTGCCAGATATTTGTTGTTGTTTGTCTGCTTTTGCTGTGCTGGAGCAGTTTTCATGTTCTGCCAGCGAAGCTTCAGAAGTTCAATCTCCATGCTGATGTTTGTGCAAGCACAGCAGGGGAAAAAAGCACGGCTTGTATTTATTTGTGCTCCGGATCCATCCCAGCAGCGGAGAGCATCCTCAGCCCCATTGCACTGCTCCAAGGGACCCCATAACAGTGGGGTGAGGAGGAAAAAAGGTCAGATTTACTGCCCATTGCTGTTTGCTGTTACAGGACCACGTCCCACACCAGGTACGGACAGCTGAACCGCCTGCAGCGCCGCGCCGCACACCGCTGCTGTGCCTACTGGGCTCAGCGCCCAGGGCACCCTGCCTGCCTGCTCTGTAAGTACTGCATGGCTGCTGCTGCATCCTGCTGCCAAGTGCTATTGAGAACTTGAAGTCAAGCACAGAGCAGTGCTGCTGCTGGGAGTTCCGGATTGCTCCATGCAAACCCTGAGTTTGCATCGCGTCTCCTTGCCCAGCCCTGCAGTGCTGTCTGTGATGGATGGTGCTGCAGGGCTCGGTGCTCAGCCTTCGCTCTCACTCTCTGTGTTTTGGCCCTCAGCAGCCGATTTTGGTGCTGCAGTGCTGTGAGTAAAACGATGGCACAAATGAGGTTTGAAGCTAAGACCCTGAGCCTGGGATGTGTGCACTCAGTGGGTGGATTTCCTGCTCCTTTGTGCTTGCTGTAGTGTAATCCTCTGCAAAGCAGGCAGAAGTGCTTGCTTCCCAGCTGTGTGGATTAGAGCGTATTCAGATTGCTCAGGTCAGGCTGTGGATATCTGTATATATGGCAGGGAATTGCAGTGGCATTGCCCTCAATCCCTTTTCCAATGGCACATCCATGCTGTGACGCCCCAGTGGGACCAATGTCCCCTGCCAAGCCATGGGGAAGCCATGGTGGTGCCCAGGTCCTGTGGGTGGCCAAGGCTGGGAGGTCATGGGCTGATCAAGGATGTGGTTCTGTGCAGGAAGATCCTCATCCCAGAGCACTGTGTGGTGGAATGGCTTCTCCTGCTGGCGGCTCTGGACGTGGAGAGGGTGTAGGAAGGACGGGTGGAGGAAATGAATCATTGAGTGCTGGGGGAATGGAGGAATGCATGCAGAGTGTTGGCACATCAGAGGATTTCGTTTTGTGCTCATTGAGAGTCAGCCCAATGCAGGCAGTGTGGCTGTGCCAAGGGATGTCTGCAGGATCTGTGGCCTCAGGTGAGTATCCGAGCTTCAATTCTGCCTTTGTTTTACCAAATCTTTGGGAAATATAACATATTTTCCGCATTTAATGAGTTTTAAGAAATGTGTCTCCCTGGAAAAATCACAGCCTTGCTTGTGGCCCTATTGAGGTGCTTTGATTTCAGAAGCCTAATTGAGCGTTCAGTCTCTGTGTGTTCATTTTGCACTTCACTGGGTGAGAATAGAGAAGTGGGGCTGCTCAGCCTTCCTTGCAGTTTAGCTCCATTTCACTCTCTGGTCCACACAGAAGGTGACACATATTTGGATGATCCCAGAGATGCAGCTTTGTCTGCTTTTGGTTTTTCCCTTACAGATGCCTCCAGTTCCCAAACAAACAACCCATCCTCCATCAGTGGAGGTGTGCACCAACCCTGCATTCAGCTCAAGGGATTTCCAGCCCAGCCAGAACCCAGCACCGATTTGGGATGGCAGTGAGATGCTGAGCTGAACCTTCCATGGTTCTGCAGTCCATGAGGCCAATTTAAAATCTGTTTCTGAGATTAAATAGCAGCAATTATTCCTCAGCTGCCAGTTCACTGGACAGATTCCACCATTAATAACAGCCAGGCTCAATGAAGCAGAGCATTTCTCCTCCAGCAGCCAAGGAGTCGGGACGCTGCTGTTTGCAAGCAGGTTTGGGGGCAGATTTGTTGTTTTTCCTTTGGCAAGCCCCACAGATAAATCAGGGGGGCTCCAGCCAGCAAAGAGGTTTGTTACTATCACTTGTGGAGCATCCAGCCATGTGCTGGTTGGGCAGAGCATCCTGTGTAGAACATCCAGCCGTACAAGGAATGAAGAACCCAGCCTTCCCTGGCTGTCCTGAGCTGAGATTTTCCATTTCTGTGGTTGTTTCCTCCCACCTGTGCTTAATTTTGTGGGACTTCTGTTTCTTGTTGTTAAACCTGTGCACACAGATGCGTGTGCAGTGTATAGTTGTGCACACGTTGCTTTTTGCATAATTTAGTGTTTGTGGGGCCTCTGTACCCCCCTTTACATTCCCAATGGCTGCAAGGACACCTGTTAGACCCTCAGTCTTCATAAACCAGCCAAAAAACTGCCCTGAATGCCAACAGGTGTTTCTAGTTTGGTGTGTGTGAGTGCATATTAACCTCCTTTCTGTCCCCCCAGCCTCTCCAAATAAAATCCCAGCTACTTCTGAAATTCCTCCGCTCAGCACTGGAGCAGCAGGCAGCCCTGCCGCGGGTGCCAAGAAACCCATGCATGTTACAATAGGGAATTTGGGGTTTTTTTGGGTGAGATTTAAATGGCTTGATTAAATGTGAGTGGAGCTCCAAACCCACTCTTGGCTCCCGTGTTCCAGAGCTGTTCTGAGTCATTGGTGATGGAGGTCAGAGCTGCTGTTCCGTGGCCTTAATCTGATTGTCTGAGATCAAAGGGCCCTGTGGTGCTGTGTGTGCTCATAAAGGAGCGGTGGGACGCTGGGTTCCCTCGCTGTGCCAGCAATGCAGTGTGCAGGGGATGGAGGGGGAGGGTGGGTGTCAGGAGCCCAGGGGATGCTGTGCCTTCCCTTGCACACCGCTGTGCCTGTGAGCACGTTGCATTGCAGGGCAGCAGAAGCTGCCGGGCGCCAGATGCGTGCAATCAGGGGATCCCTCTTTTCACCTTAGGCTTTTTAATTGAAACCTGTGGATATAGTAAGGAACAAGCAGCCATGAGCCCTTGGTTAGAGATAAAGGAAGCGTGGATAAACGTCTTTTGTGGCCTGGCAACGAACTTGCTGAGGACAACACAAAACGTGCTCATTAAACATCCTCTAACCAGCATTGCTTTTTGTTTTCAGCAGCGCTGCGGTGCTTCGTCCCACCATTATTAATTGCCTAACACCAAGGATGGCACAAATGGGCCGTAATTTGTTATTGTAACTTCTTCCCGTGCCTTTCTGTGGGTTTTTGCTCTTGACACCTATTATCCATCTGGGAACAGAAGTGGCTTTTGTCGTGAAGTCTAAATAATGAGATCAGTAATCAGCAGTCGTACAGAGACAATCTTGTACTACAAACACTTCTGCAGCTCTTGAGAGCCCTACAAAGAGCTTCCCCCCCTCAGACACTTTGTAGTATTGACCTTAATTATACTGAGACAAAGAGATGAGGAGAAAGATTATTTTTTCCCAGGAACTCTCCAGTTGTCCAGGACAAAATGTCTGCTGCCATTGTGCTGGCTGAGCAAGCCTCAGTAAGAGCTACAATTGGCATTAGTGCTGCTCATGAGCCTGAGCTTGCCAAGTGCCTGGAAGGAGCACGGCTCTGACCTGTCACAGCCCAGCTTTCTGCTTCTCAGCCCTTATTTCCTTGAGCTGTAATCCCTTTTGTGGTATTTCATCGCTGCTGACTCTGTTCCAGCCCCAGGATGGATGTTTGCTGGCAGGAGCCGGCAGCCAACACTGCTGACCTTTGGAAGATGCTCAGTGGAGGATTCCTGCTGGCTCTTGTTGCTCCTCAGTGTACTGAAATACCTGAGTGCCAGACCAGCTCTTGCAGGGCATTGAGCTTTTGTGTCTTACGTCAATAGCAGGGCATTCTGCTCTATCATTGCTGCTCCTGAAAACGTGCTGTCAAGTCTTAGCTACCCAGCAAAGAGTTCTGTGCCAGGCTGTTATCAGCGTCCATTCAATGCCATGAGTCATATTCTGCCCTCTCACTGATCTTTAAGGTCCTGCCAACGAGGCCATGGCTGGAGGAGCTTAATGCAAGCACCTGGGAGATGTGTGGGTGAGTGTGATGAGTTCTTTGGGGGATCCATCATGTTGCTGTTTTGAAGCTATAGACAGCAGAGAATCGGCCCAAGGAGGGCTGCTCAGCAGACAGACATCGTGTGGATTCTCCTACTTCTGTTGTGTTTACAGTTGAATTTGCTTTATTTATGCTTGTATATAATAACATCTTTGACAAATCACTCCCATGTGTTCTTAGGGCAGCACTGAGAGCTGGTGGCTCGGGTTGCAAGTGCAATCATGGGGTTTGTGTTACTGTCAGGGGCTGCAGGGAGATGTATGAGCCCTATATCAGACTGCCCTCCTTCTGGGGAAGCACCAAAGCCAACAAACACCCATAAGCTTACAGAGCTGAGGTCGCTGCAGAGGGTTGGGATCTTTGAAGGAAGCCTCTGCAGCTCCAGCAAAGCAGGAATAGGGTTTTTTTTTTTCCTTTGGGAATCATCCGTGAAATACAGCATTGGCTGTAGAGTGGGGAGGAAAAAACCCCATCAAACAGCGGCACGTTTGTTGGGCTCCCCAGGGGAAGCCCCAGCGGGCTGCCAAGACACTGCATTTTTATGTTGATCCATTATATGAAAGTGTCAGAGAAGAATTCTCTCCGTTATAGAGAGGTATTTATAGACTGAGAGGAAAAGCCAAGGCTTATGGCAGAGCTCAGAGGCTGCTGCTGCTCTCGCTGTTGACACACTGACTGTTTTTTCTGTGCTTTGAAGATCCACCCCATGCACGCATCCTTTGTCTGAGGTCCTGGCGAGCTGCACGTCCTGGGATTGGGAGAGCTCTGTGCTGTATTTACGGATGCTTCAGACGGAAGGAAATCTCATAAGGCTTTGATAAATCCAAGCTCTGACGTTTCTGACAGCGTTGTCTGCAGAGCGTAACCGTGCTGCTTATTTATACAGAACATGAAGGGAAGAGTCGCCCCTCTCTCTGTTCCTGCAGCAAAGCTTACAGCATACGGTGCAGCAGTTTGGGCTGTGTCTGCTTGTAGGATTGCTGCACGTGTCACCTGGCAGCCTCTGCCCGTGCTGGCGGCCGTGAGCTGCTCCCAGCAGGGCTGTCCGTGTGAGTGCTGCCAGCTCTTTGATGGAAACAGGAAGGACTTTAACGGATGGAGTCACTCCCCAGTTGGTTTAAAGCATGGCCTGATGTTTCAGAAGCAGTCAGGGAGTGCTGAGCCCAGACAGGCATGTCAGCACAGTTTGTTGATGGTGAAGAGGATGAAAGTGATTAATTACAGGCTAATCAGACAAGCCTTGAGTCCTTGGGGAGCAGGAAGGCAGCACCCAGCATGGCAACTCTTTGTGCTGGCTGATAGGTAGCAGAGGGCACAGTGCCTTTGCACAGGGCTTTTCCATCCTTTGCATGGATGGAGGCAGCTGTTAGCAGGAGTTTGTTGGCTCCTGCTGGTGGGACAGCAGTTACAAAGAGCTGTGGGTACAGAGCATCCTGTAGGGTAGAGGATGGATGAAGGCAAGGGCCTCGTGTGGCACCAAGGGAGGTTTGGGTTGAAAACGAGGAGCAGTTTCTTTTCCAGTGGAGGGGTGATGCTTTGGCACAGGAAGGTGGGGGGTCACCATCCCAGTGTGGGCAGGGGGCACGGTGGGGGGGGTTGGAGTTGAACTCAGTGATCTTTGTGTCTTGAGTTCAGTGACTTTATACTCAGTGACTTTATATTGTGCCGAGCCAGTGGCAACTGCGTGAATGACTTCTCAGATCTGCATTAGAAGAGGGAGTTCAATGGCGGTTCTCCACGATCCCCTTCTCCAGCTCTGCTGCCAGCCGGCGATCGCTTCCATCCTTAGGACCCGACGCGAAGTTTTCGTTGTAGGATTTACCCTTCCGCAGCCGGCAGAGGGCGGCGGTGTCCCGGCCGTGTCCCCGCGATGTCCCTTCGGCAGACCGCGGCCATGCGGGGAGCAGATGGGAGCACGGAGCTCCATCAGTGCGGGGCGAGCGCAACGAACACGAGATCTGTGCGCGGTAGCAGGAGGAAATGTACAGAACACGGTATGGCTGAAGCTGCTGGCAACTCGTTACTCCTCCATCCAGAGCAACGCCTTACAATGGTATTGTCTCCATTTTTCTTGTTCTTTTGAGAAGGAAATGCTTGTCTACAGGGCAAGAAGTGCAGCTTCTCTAGTACAAATACATGCGTGGAGCACCTTGCTTAGTGCCAAACGTCAGGGGTTTGCCAGCAGCTGCTACATCTCTTTGCAATCTCCCCATATATTTCACA